CATCGATGGGGATGATGGAACAACGGCACAAAATGATCTAAAGCGCACACATTAAAACGTTTGCCCTCCCCCCCCCCAACAACAACAATTATAATTCAAAAATATAAACTAATGTCAACTGCTGACTATACAGTTATTGTAAATAGCTCAATAGAAATATGCAAATTATCATGTGTGTGTTTTGTCACAAATTTATTTATTTATATTCCAGATGTTGTTAATAGTATTATTAAATATTATCTTTATTGTCACAATTTTATTTATTTTTATAACCTAACATTATGCTAATGTAATAAACATAAATTTTAATGACGAGTTTTTCAGGATGTATATTTATGTTTGTTTTCGTATCATACATATTATAATATATAATTGTAAATAAATTTAGTTTAAACCAAGAATGTAGGAGTCAGTGCTGTAAGACCCGAAGATGCTTAATTTGGAAAAAAATATATATATAATTCCGCTTCTATATGCTAAAATTGTACTGCGACCACAAGACTTTGATACACGAATAAAGAATTGGACGAATATTTTGAGACTAGTTAATTATTTGTTCAGGATACAGCAAAAAAACGTATAATATGTAATAAAGTGAATGAATTACTAGACACTCGTATCATTTGTTTGATTGGTCATACCTGGATTATCTTTCCTAATATTTACAAACCGAAATCACTAAATCTACGATAATTGAATTCGATGATTTGGTCTTGAGTTTCTAAGGACACTTTCTTATTATGGTAGATTTAGCACAAATGCATCGTTGCACGCCCCCCCCCCCCCAACACACACACACACACCCACCCTATGCTCTAACCGTTTTGACATCTGTTACAAGGTAAGCTATCTCTTTCTGGAGCACCTGATACCACATGCCACGGGACCATTGTCGTTGTGGAACGGTCGTAGCAGAGAGAGAGAGAAAGATCAATGGAGTTTAACGTCCACTCGACAGAAATTAGGTTAAAATATTTCAATTTTATTTCAATAATTCGCTTGCGCGTAGGGGTCTGTAGCAGTGGGAGGAAACTGGAGGACCCGGAGAAAACCCACGAGGTTGGACAGGCAACCGTTCTCCTTGTCACGTACAACCAGGGAATCGAAACCACGCCAGTTGACTTAATGACAGACCTTATGATACAGCGCGCATGTGCTAACCATTCGGCCATCCAATCCCCCGTTTTCTTTTTTAACCCAGTTTGCTGTTAAACTGGGTTACAATTATACCCCTAGAAAAACCCGAGGAACTTTTGCAGTTTTCAACGCATTTTGCTCTAAGAATAGCTTAAATTATATTTTCCATCCACTACCCATATTTTGCGCCTTTAGCGCCCTTCGCAAAGCCCCCTAAAGAACCAAATCAATAAACTTTTGGCGCCCTCGATGGAAAATCCAATTACAGCCATGGTCTAACCAGACAAGGGACACTGAAATATCGTCATGTTATTTATGATAGTGTTGGTGATGTTATAATGTAAGTACGGTAGCATTAGAGTTAAGCCTGTCTCGGCCTCCTATTAGCACAATAAAACTGATGATGCTTTGTTTTAATTGAAGACCAGTCACCAGGTGGCACTGTTTATTTGTTGAAATTGAAGCAGATGTAAATCGAATGGAATCCGATTATAAGTAATTTCAATGTGTCTGGTCTTTTTGGATGTATTTCTTGTTTGTAATTATCTGTGAGAAGCTGTAACTAGTGTCACTAATATTCTTAGATTTAAGAATTTTCTTTCGTGGATTCGTAAGCCTGCTGCACAAATAGTCTGAAAATTTCTAAACATGTTACATGGCAAATCGAATTTAACTGCGAAAAAAAAAGACATTAAGCAATACTCCAAAAAACTCCGTTAAAGTAAGGCCAAGAAAAAATCACCAGTATTTTCTTTAAATATCTTATTCGCAAAAAAAAAAGTACGATAATTACTTTTTTGTTTTTGTATTAAAGGAACAAACACGGTATTTATAATTTTAAATTATTTAAAACTCATTTAACTAAATATATGCTATTTCAATGAGTAAAAAAGTCTAGTGATCATCCTCTTTGAATAATTGCATTGATTGTTGCAAAGCAGTTTACGAGACAAGACTCGAATTGCCAACTGTCTGGGCAGAGTAGAGGCCTAATCAGAATCACAGATCGCATCTTAGTTGTTCGTTCGATAAAAACGTACATCTTGATATTCAAAGGATCGTTGTACATAATGGGTATTTGTGATCCGTGTGATATGAAATGGTCACACATATGCCATTCAAAGCTATAATATGTGCATTCATTCGTTTGCAATAAACAGTTTATCCCTTTCGCCTATCAGTTGACATTTGTCAGTTATTCGTTTTAGTCATTTTTTAACATAATATAATATTTTTCTCGAGAGTGGAATATTTTGATTGAACTGAAATTGGAATCTGATTATAGTTATGGCTGTTTGACACATTTTATGCGGTGAAAGTCAAGCACAAGATCGAGCAATTATTTAATCAATGTGCAATTGATCTGACTCTCTTGCGTCGTTCTTCATTATGTATAAATATTGAATATCATAAATTAAATGACTGAGGAAATTAATAATAAAAAAAATAAATAAAAAAATGACGCCCTTATAAACAATATATTGAGCTGGTGGTAATGCGTTAGTCAAGCGGTTTCGTATTTATTGACAGAGAATGAGGTTGTTTTAGGGACAATAAATTTATGAGAATTGTTTACAGGTACATTATTGACCTGTTATTAATTTTAGACAAACTGAATACATATTTGAATTACTGATATCGATCAACCATAACATTATGGTTAACTTATGAATTATATTGTGTAGAATTATGTTCATATAACCATTCAAATGACTATCATATTTACTGACAGTTGAATCATCTAACAGTTACAAGGTAATCAAATTATATTGTCCATTATATATAAATGGAAGAAATATTTTTATTACTTTCCATTTCTAAACAAAAGGTATCGCAACACCCGAATGTTTATGCGCTCAAGAGAAAATCATTACACAAATAAATAAATGCGAATGTGATATTAAAATTTTGACGTATTCTATCCGCCATACAAACTAGTGAAAGCTGTCAGTGTGCACGCTACAGACCAACGGAGCAACATCAATATCAATAAAATTGATATGGAAAAATATTGATTTCTAATTCTTGTTTTTAATTTCCAATATTATAGATAATTTTAAGTTAGAGGTTTAGCTCCATTAACAATCTTACATGATTTATCAATTAAATGGGCAACATTTTTATTAAGGGAACCAGAAGATTGTAAATACCTAAATATATTATTCATTATATCCCGAGAGTACACGACGTCGTGTACTGATTTTAAAATGTTCATTTTTTTCAACGATAACAAAATCAATATTATTGATATGGACAAATAACAAATGTTGATTTCTAATTCTTGTTTTTAATTCCTAATATTATGGATAATATTGAGTTAGAGGTTTAGCTCCAACAACAATCTTAAATACGCCTTACATGATTTATCAATTAAATGGGCAACTTTGTTATTAAGGGAACCAGAAGATTGTAAATATCTAAATATTTTATTCATTTATATTTTCAAGTGATGAAAATGTTTTGTTTCAGCTTTATTTTAAAAAGATGACGTTTTTTATTTGCATTAACTTTCATTCTTCGCTGCTTACAATACAATGGTTATAAAGGCGTTTTTATCTCTTCCTCGACACATTCTTTAAATAATGGTTATAGTAATACAACCAAACATATCAAAAGCACAAAGGCTGTGTTGAGCAAACTGACTTGTTTCGAATCAGAGTATAATTTGAGATAAATTTAAATATGCACAATTTGCTAATCCAGTGTTCTGACAAGGTCTAGTTCTAACGATTATTCTAACGAAACACACATGCTTCCATTTGTCTATTACTGAATTAAGGTATATTACGATTACCACAGAAAACCACGATTACTTTGATCACATTAGTCTTAGATGTGTGCATCTTCTATTTGTACAAGGGAGTCAGGGTGTCTAAGTGGGTAAGGCGATGGCTCGTTAGCCTGGAGGTCGCGTGTTCGATCTCTGCATTGGCCGAGAAAGTTCATCGGAATTTCTGTCATTGCACACTGTATGGCGTATGCCCGTCTTCATTAGCCCAGTCGGAGCAGAACAGTAGGACGTTAAACCCCATTTAATTTCATTTCATTTAAAAAAAAATTAAAAAAACCGAATTACTGTTTCAACGAATTCCTGATTTAGGTTGCTTAGTAGAAAATTTTTAAGGAAATATTATCGCTAAATTCTCCAATCATCTTCACACTCCATTGTTTTTGATAGTGCCGATGTTTTAGTTAGTGCTATTTCATTGCTGCACGAAAGGGTGGCTTCTGCAAATTTAGGGTTAATCACTGCACATTTAGGGATCATTGGATTCTTTAATATGGAAATATGTGGAAGCCATGATTTGATTAGTTTTATTAAATTTGCCATTAGTCTCGCACATTATTATATATTATTATATGGTAATTGTCCAATTGGTTTGATTTTTATCGGTATAGTTTGTATTACCTGAAAATTTTGCCAACATATTTTATTATCACGATTATGTTCTGGAGCGATGATTTCCATCTAAAACCTAACATGTAAATGGTCACGTGTTTGATATCTCCATTTACATGTGCAATTCACTCGTGGGATTTATTCTTAATGTTTGACGGTTTTCAGACTTTCTATGCTATGCTTCATGGGTATAATAGATTTCATCTAAAATGGACAGGGCTGGTTCAATAAAAATAAGGTAATTGATGATGTCCTTTAAGACAGCTTTGTTTACATGTACAGCTTAAAGTAGTTGTGTTGGCCGTGGGAACAATGGAACTGCTTTATTAGGTGCCTTCATTAACAATATATAGAATTGACTGAACGCGGAATCTCATTAAATCGAAGATTAATCGTTAGTCTCACTCACTTGAATCTTTGTTAACAAGCTCATTAATCAAACCACTTACACTATTTTTTTCAGGACAGAATTCGTCAAGGCCATGTTAATGGACTATGATAATAAAGTCACTCCAACTTTTGACCTTGGTAAATATAATCTATTCTATCAAAAGCATTTATTGAGTTATCAGCTGATCCGCAGTAAATTGTCGCTCAGGCCCCACTTTTGACCTTGGAAAATATAATCTATTCTATCAACAGCATTTATAGAGTAACCTGCGGATCCGCAGTAAATTGTCGCTCAGCCGCTGCTAAAACATTCACAGTTACCCTGTGGGCCAATTGGGTGTATATAGTTCAATTGCTTGAGAGTAGTTTACATACTTGAGTGTAATGAAGATACTTGGAGCAGTTTAATACTTGAATGTAATTGACATACCAGGGTGTAGTTCACATAGAGTAGTTTATAGACGTAAGAGTTGGTTAAATGCTTGAGCTTTAAGCTAAGAAGCAGTGACTTATAGTTCTCCAAAATACTTTGTGGCTTGACGTCCATGGATGTCATTCCTGTTTCTTCTTACGTCTCTTCGTAACAAAGTAAAGTGGCACCATAACCTACTTAACCTTGGTACCTAAACACCCCCCCCCCGCGCCACACACACACACACACTTCTTCTAAAGACCCTGCATGCATATTAGGTCCAAAATAAACTAGTTGGTCTTTAGGGGACTTCAAACCCTGTAAAATATGACTTTAATTATACCGGTATCAATGATGTGTCGAATAAATATTTAGTAATGTTTGTTATTCATTAAACAGGAACAGCAACAAAAGTTGATGTAGCTCTGTTTATAAATAGTATAGATAGTATCAGTGAAACTACCATGGTAAGTAGAACTAAACAATAATAATCAATACGCGTGCATTCCTGTCGATATGCTCAGCAGATTGTTGCTCACATTATTCACTGATTAAGTGAATATTGTGAAAAGAAACAGAACACACGATTGACCTTCTGGACAAAAACATAAAGATATATTCATTTTGGAATCGTTTTTAATTTAGATACAACAGAGTTACAGCTTAAGTTGCCATTCCGTGGGATTCCGATAAAATAAAGTTTTTACTGAGTTATGCATTTGTTTACTTAAAACTAATGAAAGTTCGGTTTTCCGGAATTATTTTAGGTTAACCTTTGAGCTGTTTGATTGAAAGTTGACACACTGTTGTATTTTGCAGTGTTACAGATATAGTTCGCGTTCCGGTGGATTCCATTAACGTTTTTATTGACTAATAACCCTTTGTTGACTTTAAAGTCAATGGAAATAAATATGTTCTCCGGAATTATTTTAATTTAAACTTTGAGGTATTTGATGAAGGGTTTGGTACACTGCTATATATAACAGAGTTACAGATGGAGTTTGCATTTTGTGGCATTCCGTCATTAAGGTAACGGAAGATGATTTTCGGGTTAGGTACGCTGCTGTATATAACATAGGTTACAGACCAATTTAATAAAAATCCAGTTTTACAGAATGTATTCTACATATTTGGATTATACATTCACAGAAATGTATTCATAGCACCAGCCTTATCAATGCATGCCATGTAAATTTTGAGGGTGCTCAGTAGTTGACGTGAATTTATTTAGTGATACGCGGAGGTTGCTTTTTGAAATTTGTATTAGTTGTCTGTTCTATTCAAAGGAATAGCCCTATTGACATTTATCAAAACTTATTACAGACTTCAATTTTGAATCGATGTTTCGGAAGTTTTTATGAATGTTTTGGCAAAATATAAAAATTGTCGATGTCACAAAATTTAGCTACGAGTGTTCCCTGCATTCATAAGTATGAAACGTCTATCTTCTTTATTACAGGATTTTAGCTTGAATGCTTTCGTCGTTCAGGAATGGACAGATCCAAGAATTCAGTTTCACGGTCTAATAGATGCACCATATCTAGAACTAGATTCCAAGTTAATTGATGATGTTTGGGTTCCCGATCTATATTTTTCCAACGAGAAAACGGCAGCATTCCATACCGTTACCGTGCCAAACAAAATGTTACATCTCTACAGCAATGGAAAAGTTGTGTATCGATTAAGGTAAGGGCCTGACAGTAAAAATGATACATATTTGTAAAGTTAAACTACAGAATAGAATAAATTAATCAAACTTGAACCTTAAATGGCACAGTTCAGACTATATGTGTTTCTAAAATTGATATGTTTACTGGTAAGGAAACATTTATCTGCAAAGGCAACAAAACTTGACACCAAGCCAATATATACAGTATAGATATTATAGACGCAGTGAACCAGAATAATGTATTTTGATGATGTAAAGACAGTTGTTATTATATCATCTGAGTGCCAAATGTTTGTATGGAGAATCAGCTGGTAGGTACGAAAATGATGACAGAAGTATTGTTACTTTCTTAACTAAGACACATAAAGGTGGTTATAGAACAATTTTAATGAACTTTACATGGCCATTACTTTAAGCTGGTAAGTGCAGAAGAACCGGATCATACTTAACAGCCAAATAGAAACCCAAAAAACATACGGGCACCACACATGGCTATTGTAGGTAATAACTGAAAGCACTACCAGAAGAGTCCAGTGCGATCTACAGTGTGTGATACAGGCTTGACTTAAATGAAAACAAACCCAAGAGGGAGGCAATCTCAATCTCGAAATAACAAACGGTTTTTATGAGAGATACGCCAACATTTTCAAAGAGACGGACGGAAGGGGATTATCCTCTTATTGTCACACCAAATTTGAAATATATCCGGTAAGAACTGTAGTCTCTATCGCGTTAAAGTGTTCGGTAATGGGGCGTAAGCCTATATCGTGTTCACAGGGTAAAAGGCGGGTGGGGTAACTCCTGAGCGGAATGGACGCTAAAAGTCGATAGGTTGGTCATTTTACGACATCCCAAATTGTTAAAAAAAACGGTTGATTTCACAAGGTTATTAGCAAAGGAAGGTTCACAAGATATGTAGGTGATTTTCATACAATCAAGGGCCGTCGTATATGTGCCAAAATCGAAACCATCCGATCTTTAAAATATACCGATTGGTGAAAAATATTGTATTATTCAATTGTATCATGGTACAAAATAGGAAGGAAATTTAACATTGTACCAACATAATATTAATAAAACTTCTTATCATTATGCATGGTTAAATCTTTATTCCGGCATGTTGGGGAACGTTAGATGATATTTTTCAGTAATTGAGGTGTATTATGTGGTCAGCGTAGTCCATTTCGTTGACATCTCCGTGTCAACTTTTATTGCAATGGTTAATCATTAAAAGAATAAACCACTGAATTGCAGGAATTCTCAGTAGAATGATATGGTTGCATTACAAACACTCTTTAGTTAATATTATTAAGCTGTTCAACATACACATCTGACATGTTTTCTCTAAGGACGACTTTGAGATAACATATGGACTTGTATGTCAATTTATGGAAATTTGGAAACGCAAGTGTATAAATGTGGATCTAATGGGTTTGGGGTTACATACCTAGATTGATGTTCATAGGAAGGCGTACAACCGCGTGATTAAACATCATTTCGCCAGCATTGGGATATCTTAGAATTGGGTTTTCCACTAGCCGCATGGCGCTAGAGGCTGATATAAGCTATGTGTAACAATCGGGAGTTAACCGACAATGCCTTCCCGGTCAGTTTTCCCGACAAAACGTCGGGAACACATCGGAAAAGCATTGCATTTTTTCGCAGTTCTCCCGATGGTTCCATATGGCTCGCGACGCCCTGGGGAACCTGTTCCAGGTGCCTCCTGAAGCTCGTCAATTTGCATCGTAGTACATCGCCCAGGCAAAAAAATGCCAAGTGGGCCTTAGGAATAAGTGCCGCCGATATACCACCACGCAAGAGACAGATCTCCCAGCAAGAATATTCACCCGATGGTGTTGATTATTGGCGAAGGTACACTGGAGCTTTCCCGATTATTGGGTACCATGCCCGATAATTCACGGCAATTGTTCGGGGAAATTCTCAGAAGCTTTGTGACCATAGACGAAGCATCAGTGAACGTTCACGGACCATCCCGATGCCTTATTAGTACCATTTCTCGGCCGTCATCGCGAGAAAAAAATTTGTTTATTTCCACATTGTCGATGATTTTTTCCTAGTGGGACCTAGGCATTAGCAATGATCTTATAAAACGAATTATAGTTTTCGTAAGAGTATTGTTTATGGTTTATTGTCAAAAATTTAACTGTTTTTCTGACTTCATTTTAAGTCGAATTTTTTACACATTTCTCTCTTCAGAGTTTCTATAACAGCTACGTGTCCAATGCAGCTACAAAAATATCCAATGGATAGCCAGATGTGTTCATTATATATACAGAGTTGTGAGTATATTGAGTTATGTTATTTATATATATTTTGAACTTCCGATAAAAATGTAAAAGCGAAAATTGTGTTACAGACATTTACTGATATATCATGGCGCGTGACAGATAGCGGTAGATATATTCATTCATTTATTAGGAAGATCTGTAGTTATGGGAATAATATATTAATGGTGTTAAGTATTCACTGCAGCAATGTTTCGTTGTTTATTCACCTATTCCTTTTATATACCCGTATTTAGGATAGAGGTCATATAGGCCATGCTGGTTCCTCGATGCCTTTCATAGAGCCACTGTGGCTCAGTGAGTCAGACGTTGGTTCGCTACCCACGAGTTCCGGTGTTCGATCAATGCGCTGGCCGCGAATTTTCATCTGGATTTTCCGGCGTGGTTTCCCCCTTGTCAGTAGGTCGAAACCCCCGCTTTCCCATGTACACATTGCCGTGCACGTAAGACAGCCCTTGGCAGTTGGAATTCGATATAAGAGTAGATCATAGCGCCGCTGTCCGAGACAAATGTATCACAGAGCACAATGTATGGCTTATGCTTGTCTTTCTTAGTCCAGTCGGAGCAGAAAAGTCGGACGTTAATTTCCATTTCATTTCAATCACTTTCAATTTTTGAATAATAATATATATATAAATAAACTTACTAAATTCTGATTACATCTATAAAAGGGCAAGGTATCAGCTCACATCAAAGTTTAATGTTAAATAAACGCAGGCCGATATCTGCTTTATCACAGTATATTACGATTTTTATATGGACAATATGAAATGTGGTCGTATATTGCCGTCGCCCACAATGTCTTGTGAACACTTCACAGAAACATTTATTGTGTGATTTGTTAGAAATGTGAATGTGAATATTCATTGTTCAAATTAGTGAAAGTCTATTATACACATCGTTCAAATTAGTGAAAGTCTATTATACACATCGTCCAAATTAGTGAACCAAAGGCGCTTTTGGTTAATTACTAGGCTTATGGTTAATTACTAGGCTTATGGCCATGGTTTCACTTTGTAGAATCTTGTGAACGCACTAATAGCACTAGTGATCATCGGATCTGATTGAACATTATGCACATCGTCCAAACGAAGACGCTTTTGGTTAATTACTTCTATGCTTATGACCATTGTTTCATTTTGTAGAATTTTGCAAGCAATCGAACGGAAAAGGCATCGCCCAAGCTGTTTGATATGTTTGAAATTTAAATATATGCCTTCTTCGAAGATTCCTATAGAAAAGAAAAAATCAGTGAAACAGGGAAGATTATATAATTTCATCAGGTTTAGCGGATAGGGGTGGGGTGGTGGCGTTGTTTCGTTGTCTGGTAAAATAAGATAACCAGATTCCAAATCTGTAGATTTGCACTGCTTTATTTTCACATATCGTCTTGTTGTGGATATTCAGATTCGAAATGATATCCTCTCATAGACTCAAAGCATCATTACTGATTGCCACAACTGTGAACTTCGCCTAAAGATCATCCGTAACAAGGATCTTTAGATCATTTGGTCGACAGAACAAGGTACCATTCTCCGGGTACAGGAACACTATTTATTTTCCCTAATATATTCAGATACTGGTGGATTCCTGGTCACACTGCGTTGTGTGGCCATAGATTTGAACTGAAAGGAAAGCCGCCAAATGAAACCAGATCGAAATGAATAGTTTCATAGAAGAGCTATTTACGGTTTATTTGTGTTTTGTATTTAATTTTATCATAAGAATGAAGTTATCGTCTTTTGCCAATATTTACATGATTCTCCTTGCCATATACGCCCGAATCTTTAGGCTGTCCTTATGCTGAATTTCTAGAAGTACAAAAATTTGCATTTATTTACACAATTTGTATTACGGATATGCCCATGTTACTGTTTTTAAAATTGACTGAGGGGTAATAAAAAGAGGGAAATCCTATTAATTTATTAAGATCATACTTAACGCTATTAATAGCAAACCGATTAACCTAAGCCATAGATAATCAATAATTAAAAGTGAATGTGTGTGTTGGGGGAAGGGGGCGGTATGAGTGGACACGAGTAATCGATCATGCAAGGGAAACCGTAAATATATCAATTCAATAAACTAAAAACAAAAATTAAAAAAACATACTATTTACGTTTAAATCCATACGCTTTATATTCATGACCTCAAGAAGTTTCCTGGTTTTCTTCTGGATTTACTGCAAGGGTTTGTGTATCCTCCGCCTCGTCAAAACGTCGCATAGTATTAAACTCAGTGCGTATCCTAAAATTGTAACCTGTGTTAATAAGTCCAATCACTAAATGCCTATCAAAGAAGTTAAAATTTCGACTTAGTAAGTTAAAATTTCGACTTAGTAAGTTGAAATAGTAAGTCGAAATTTCGACTTAGTAAGTTGAAATTTCGACTTAGCATTGGAATTTCAACATAGTATCTTGAAATTGCTCTGTGGTAAATTATACAGTCCGACAGAATGTCTCCAGCCGTTTCGCATGTACAAGTGTGCTACTGGCCGACTATCAGTCCCCAACAAACCATCTGCATTTTCCAACAATATGCATGAAATGGAACCAAAATGTATAACTTTCTAAGCATTGGAACTCATGATACGGGTATTTATTATGCTATATAAATTTGGATGTTATGATATAGTTCAAGCTCTCTGAAATGGAATCAAATCGGGTTTAACGTCCTACTTGTCCGCACAGACTGGGCTAATGAAGACTGGCATACACCACCACTGTGCTATGAGGAAACATTTGCGGTTCTACGGCATAAACTTATTTCGAATTTAAACTGATATGTACACGGGACCTCGTTTTTTTTTTTTTTTTTTTTTTGTTCCAATCGCACAACACCTTGTTTTGCTAAACTTTGAATACTTATATATCGATTTATGAACTAATTAGTTGGTTTGTAATTAGTGTGAGAATGAAGAAAGTGCCAGTGATAAAATGGGTTTTCACGAAAGACATCGCTGAAGTCTCTTTGGCTTGTTGTTGTTTATTACAGATTTAACATCCAATACAATAAATATATTATGGACAGGTTGATTTAATTAAATTATTTATACTTAAAGTGTTGAAAATTGGTAAAAACATAAAATAACAAAAAGGTCCTTGTATATAAAAAGTCACCTTAAAACACAGTTATAAAATCGCTGTCGTGAAAAGAGAGGACGGGTCATCTGCTCCCTTTGTCATAATAAAAACAAGTTAAAACAGGAGGTCCAGCTGACTGATATTAGGCGTCATCAGCGCTGATAGAAAAAAAAACCGTGGGGAAAAAGAATCAGCTTGCTTTATGTGGAAAAGCGGTAAAAAAACACATAGCTGAACAAGTGGATTATTTACATATCAAAAAGGGTTTGTCCAATATGTTCCATATGGTTAAAAGTTAATTAAAAGTCCTTTAATGCGGTTCACAACTTCAGCGTTTAAAAGTTAAAGGCATTCCATTAGGGGTTTTCATGCCTCTCCCCAGATAAAAGTTACCTGAAAAGAAAAAGACGAACCAGCAGCAACACAAAATAAAGCTATTAGAAAAAATTAAAACATTTATAGAAATAATACATGGCTTTAAATTTTTAGACATAAATTAAATTGATTGATATGCACTGACATTGTTAACAATGGTTGTGAAGGTCCCTATTCCTTTTGTCATCATTTTTCTCTAATATATTAAATCATACAGTAGACTGAACCGCCATACTGTCCTACAACAATAGTTCCTTCCGTTGTAACTAGATTAGTAGTTCCTTATCTTAATGTCAATTTATTTTGATATTATTAAAGCATCCAGCTGGCTTAGCCGCCAACCTGGTCTACACAACAAGTTATCTTTCCATGACTAGAGCTCTTTTACGCAACTAACTAACAGTCAATTCTGCTATGAATTTTGAGATCGCTTCATAAATTTTATGTGACATATTCCGGGGGTGGGGAGGGTGCATTTTGGAGGGCCATTAAACTTCTTACAAGCGATTTTTTCTCTTCCAGTTGATTGTAGCCAATGACGACATTATTAACGGTCAAAATGTGGCCGCCTTCGCACTTCACTGGTTTATATTTATGGTCGGTAATTAAATCTTTAGTGCTCTTTTGATTAACCCACAAATTTTGCGCGATGGATGGTTGACCTACTTCTTTATAACCGAATCGTTATTTCATTTGAATTTAATAGTGTTTGCTTTGGCCAACTCAGTTTTCTATTCTGATTTAATTTTAGTTTTAACAAAGCTATTAAATTCCTGAACGCTAGATCTTCGGTCCTTTGCGAGCCAGATTGTCTGCAGAGTCATTGACTACACCTAATGCAGTTTTAGATGGTTTGATTTTTCTGGTTACCCGTTATATTAAAATAGATGTTATTATTGTGCAGGAACTGGATATTCGTCGGTGATAGACAATTGCAGGCAACTATTCTTAAAATTAATTTAGACTAAAACCGTCAAGCAAACTAGTTTGTCCTCTCTTGAATGGTTGAGATGCTCAGCATGCTGAGAAAATCTTTGCAGTTTACATTGCCTTAATTAATCACTGTGCAATAAGTACATTTCCATTAATCCAGAATAAGATGTACTTAAATTGATTATACACTAAACAGCAAAAACAACGCCAGTACGATTTAAAAAAAAGGAGAGGCACTTTAATCAAATCATTCTAGAAAACGACTTACTAAATGCATCAAAGCAATTTTTTGTGAACAGTATGTTGACACATTAGTGATTAATTCATCACAATCCCAAGACATTACGAGAAGGTTTAGAGTCTGTACACAGTCTATACATCAGTATCTGGTGTGTCCACCGCGAGTATCGATAACAGCTGTGCAGTGTATGTCCATGGAGTGGACCAGACGAACCACACTCTCGGAAAAGCCTTGCGCAATCCATCGGCTGTGTTTAGTCTCGGTACGACGTTATTAAGTCTCCTCTGAATTTCATCCAAAAGATGTTCAATCGGGTTTAAGTCCGGACTACCGGATGGCCAGTACATAACGTTGACACCGTT